GTCTGCGCGAATAAAGTAGAAGTCTTAGTGCAAAAGGTTGTAATTAAATAAATAATAAATACACATTTAAGAAACTTTTTTATAAATATAAAATTATAAAAAAAATATTTTTTGGGAAAAGGGTGTATAAACAAACTTAAATATTAAAACAAAATTACTTATATAATAACTGTTAATTATTTGCATATACATATGCAAAACATTCGGAGTGTAGGTCCAAAATGTACCCCGGTTGTAGTTGTAAGGGTTAAATACAACGATGAACAGCTCTATTAGACTAATTCACAGTATTATCCACGTAGTTATCAAATTATTACAAGAGTTTATAGGAGAATTTTATTACCAAGATTGTTTATGGTTATAATTAAGCAATAACTCATAAGGCTTTAAAATGCTTTCAAAATTAAAGTATATTTCCATGCTTAATGCCAATTATCATCAGTTTAATTTATTTTTTCTCATTGCAACTATTATAATAGTATAGTTTTACATGAAAGTACGCAAGTAATTTTGAAGTGTAATAGATGTAAATACTGATTCATTCATAAAACCCAAGATAAACGAATTCCCACTTAAATTAATTAGCAGCTGTCTACTTCTTTCTAATAAGACAGTTGTGTCTGCGTAATATAAAACACAACCTGAATGATTGCAATAAATAAGAGCTAAATTTTGAATGGATTAATCTAATAGTTCTTAATTGTTGGTAATTGAACCATTGAGTCAATTGTTTAATTTTGTATTACCTTAAAACTTTAATAGCAACAAGTGTTTTGTTGCTAGATTAATTGAAATGTTTTTGTTAAAAACTTTTACCTAGGGTGATCATACACGTCATACGTACAGCATTTCCCTGTATTGTACAGCATTTTCAAAGTCTGTTCAACAATAAAACGCCTTTATTATCTAGTAAATATTAAATTTTTATCAGTTTTATTGTTCTGTTTTGATAATTATGTTACTTTATTTCCTTTAAGAGCAAACCGAGCAACTTGAAAATGTATAACTTAATCTGAGCCTTTATTTTTGATCCGATATTTGTGAAATGTTTAGGAAATAACAAAACTTAGCGTGGAGAAACCTTGACATATTTGTAAACCTTCGAAAAATATTTATTTTGATAATTTTTGAAAAATCTATGTTTATTTTATGAAAATTAGCTGCTTTTAATGAATATCTAGTTAGTTTTTAAATGGGAGGATACCCAAACTTTTTTTTAAACGTCTCTCTACAGTGCCGCCTTATCGTTGCACACATTTAAGAAAAGCTAAATATAATTTTCCTGTAAACGTCCCAGTTTTCTTTCTACAGAATACATCCAAACTTTTCGAACACCCTATATGGGGCCATTAAGCTCATAAAATCTTGATCCCGTTAGTTAATTGTTTAATATTTATTATGAAATCGACCCTTGATAAAATTGAACATAGTTTTCATGTTTTAGTAGGACTAAAACTAAAAAAATCTGAAATGGGATGTTCTACAGGGACCAACTAAGAGTCCCTTGATTCTACGCCAATGGGTTATCGTGATTTATCAAAATATAGTGTGTTAATTAATAATAATGATCATTCAACATGTATATTTTTTAAGTCTTTACAGTAAGTGAAGATAATTATATTTAGAAAATTATGTATTTATAAAATTTACTTTTATCACCCTGTAGAATGAAAACTGGGACCTTTACAACAGGAAAATATTTGTAAGAGTATTTTAGCAAAAAAGGATAGTAAGTAGATTGATGACAAAATTGATACTACAGAAACTGTTGTTGTAGCCTTATAACTAGGCAACCATTATTATGGATTTGTATATTGTGTTGCCTGTCCATTACAAGACCATTTAAACTTTAGGGATTCAAAAGGCTCATTGCGAGAGATCCGGTTCGCTCTTAAAAAATAGCGTCCCGATTTTTTAATTGTTTTGCCACCCGTTTTATACATATTCCAATTTGGAAACCCTATTTTTATGCCTTTATTCCAATTTGGAAACCTTATTTTTATGCCTTTCTTATACCTCTATTATTCTGTGTTTTGTATAAATTTACACATTTTTTGTCGTTTTTGCTTTTATTATATCTTATAATATTATGTATTTTATTCATAAATAAACATCTTTTTCATCGACTTATTTTATTTGTTAAACATTGCATTGAAATGAGCATTTGATGTGTAAAGGTAGATAGAAAATGGCTGACAAAGTTACGAGCGCCATCTAGTTGCAAAAGAAGGGAACTGCATTGTTATAGCTACTCGCCAGTAGATGGCCGTTTCTACTTAATAGGCAACCAGTATTACAGATTGGTGTATTCTGTGTTGCCTATCAATTCGTTTAACGGACTAAATATTTTTTTATGGAAAATTTTTATTTTTGCTCCGATCTTTATGAAATTTGGCACATCGTTACAGTATTTAATTTAAAATGTCTGGCCAGTATCTGCTTCTCTCTATCTTCAATACTTTTTGCTAAATGAGCCACAACTTTTTTATTATTGCTGTTAGAAAAAAACCGAGTGTATTTTTGAGATCTACATGTGACCCTCTATCCGTATGCAAATTTAAACAATTTTTTATTTTTTCAAAAAAATCGAAAGGGTATAGCCTTCCAAATTTTTTGACAAAAAATTTTTTTGTCCCTGATCTTGATGAAAATTGGGGTAAATATAAAGAAAAGCACGAGCAATTAAGGGGTGAACTCAGTTGCTCCCTATCTATAAGGGTTAACTTTTTTTTCTTTATTCCTCAGTTAATAATAATCGAATTTATTCCATAAATTCACATAAAGATAGAGCCGGACGGATAGTTTAAAATGCCCTTTGCCGCTTGCCTCTATCTTGCGCCGTTTAGTAGCTATTCACATTTAAAAATAAGTCAAATACCTTGTCGCGTTTCTGCTATCCTGGTACGAAAATTTTGTAGACAAAATTGGATCTTTTCGAATTCGGAACTTTGTATCAGGATAATAGAAACGCGAGGAGATATGGAAAATTTTTTATTTTTGCCACAACTTTTTTAATATTCCTGTTAGAAAAAAACCGAGTGTATTTTTGAGATCTACATGTGACCCTCTATCCGTATGCAAATTTAAACAATTTTTTATTTTTTCAAAAAAATCGAAAGGGTATAGCCTTCCAAATTTTTTGACAAAAAATTTTTTTGTCTCTGATCTTGATGAAAATTGGGGTAAATGTAAAGAAAAGCACGAGCAATTAAGGGGTGAACTCAGTTGCTCCCTATCTATAAGGGTTAACTTTTTTTTCTTTATTCCTCAGTTAATAATAATCGAATTTATTCCATAAATTCACATAAAGATAGAGCCGGACGGATAGTTTAAAATGCCCTTTGCCGCTTGCCTCTATCTTGCGCCGTTTAGTAGCTATTCACATTTAAAAATAAGTCAAATACCTTGTCGCGTTTCTGCTATCCTGGTACGAAAATTTTGTAGACAAAATTGGATCTTTTCGAATTCGGAACTTTGTATCAGGATAATAGAAACGCGAGGAGATATGGAAAATTTTTTATTTTTGCCACAACTTTTTTAATATTCCTGTTAGAAAAAAACCGAGTGTATTTTTGAGATCTACATGTGACCCTCTATCCGTATGCAAATTTAAACAATTTTTTATTTTTTCAAAAAAATCGAAAGGGTATAGCCTTCCAAATTTTTTGACAAAAAATTTTTTTGTCCCTGATCTTGATGAAAATTGGGGTAAATGTAAAGAAAAGCACGAGCAATTAAGGGGTGAACTCAGTTGCTCCCTATCTATAAGGGTTAACTTTTTTTTCTTTATTCCTCAGTTAATAATAATCGAATTTATTCCATAAATTCACATAAAGATAGAGCCGGACGGATAGTTTAAAATGCCCTTTGCCGCTTGCCTCTATCTTGCGCCGTTTAGTAGCTATTCACATGTAAAAATAAGTCAAATACCTTGTCGCGTTTCTGCTATCCTGGTACGAAAATTTTGTAGACAAAATTGGATCTTTTCGAATTCGGAACTTTGTATCAGGATAATAGAAACGCGAGGAGATATGGAAAATTTTTTATTTTTGCCACAACTTTTTTAATATTCCTGTTAGAAAAAAACCGAGTGTATTTTTGAGATCTACATGTGACCCTCTATCCGTATGCAAATTTAAACAATTTTTTATTTTTTCAAAAAAATCGAAAGGGTATAGCCTTCCAAATTTTTTGACAAAAATTTTTTTTGTCTCTGATCTTGATGAAAATTGGGGTAAATATAAAGAAAAGCACGAGCAATTAAGGGGTGAACTCAGTTGCTCCCTATCTATAAGGGTTAACTTTTTTTTCTTTATTCCTTAGTTAATAATAATCGAATTTATTCCATAAATTCACATAAAGATAGAGCCGGACGGATAGTTTAAAATGCCTTTTGCCGCTTGCCTCTATCTTGCGCCGTTTAGTAGCTATTCACATTTAAAAATAAGTCAAATACCTTGTCGCGTTTCTGCTATCCTGGTACGAAAATTTTGTAGACAACATTGGATCTTTTCGAATTCGGAACTTTGTATCAGGATAATAGAAACGCGAGGAGATATCGAAAATTTTTATTTTTGCCACAACTTTTTTAATATTCCTGTTAGAAAAAAACCGAGTGTATTTTTGAGATCTAGATGTGACCCTCTATCCGTATGCAAATTTAAACAAGTTTTCATTTTTTTCAAAAGGATAGTTTAAAATGCACTTTGCCGCTTGTCTCTATAATCTTGAGTCGTTTAGTAGTTATTCACATTCAAAAATATTTTCAACATTAACAATTTTGAACTTGACAGGCAACACCGAATACACCAATATGTAATATTGGTTGCCTATGTATTAGCGGGTAGTTACAATTATTTGCCGCTAGATGGCTTAGACCTTTTTGCTATTCGCTATTGTAAAAAAAGTAGGCAACCAACATTACACTTTGGTGTATTCTATGTTGCCACAGTTTTAAAATTAATTTAATTTTTGATTTAGGAAATAAAACAAAATAATTTGATTAAAGATGTGTTTATTTATGAGAAATACATAATTTAATAGCATAAATAATAATTATACATAACTCCTTACGTTTTTTTTTCTGTGTGAATAGTAAATAATGACATTCAGACATGCAAGAAAAAGAAAGGATGCAGTAAAGACGTAGGAATAATTAAAGTCGGTAGTGAGCTACAATCCGGTCACTGGCAACGTCGATACCAGGCATTCTTTCCTCTCCTGCACATGCAAACGCCAACATAAACAAAATAGAGTCGAAAGTTTGATCTTATCAGTACTTCATAAATGCAAAAGTTTTAAATAAAGCAGAAAAACTCATATTATTTCATTAAAAGGAGTCACAGCAAAACAATTTTAAATGATTAAAAAAAAAAACTTGCCTATAGATTGAAATTAATTATTTCCTAGCAAATGTAATATGTTAATTTACAGAATAAGAAAGAAATGATATATTTAACAGAATAGCATTGTCGTTAAAAATCAATGTAATGTTTATATACAAACTCAATAAATACTGGCAACAAAACAATATCGAGGGTCACAGTGCAGGGACCTTGTTAAGTTTTTATTTTGCATTTTAGTTATTTACAGTCAATATGAACAGAACAACATTTGCTATTTACCCAAAATAATTTAAACTATTTAATTTGGACAATAATATATTGATATTTAGGCTCTAAGTAATAATCCCCAAGTATAAAATGGAAAAATTGATGAAAAACGGTGTTTTTATAATTTTTCTTATAATCATGTAAAAAAAATAAACAAGGTACTGCACTGTGACCCTCGATATGAAACAAAATTGACCATATATAGTTCTTTTGAATATTCAAGATTATCTATAAAGGTACTTATTTTATTTAAAGGCTTTAACAAGTTCACAAACAAAAGCTGCTACATTTCATTTTTGACCCTGATGCTTGATTTTCAATGTCATTTACATGAAGAGATAGCTGGGTAAACTGATGTGTGTTCTCAAAGCTGAATAAATCATCCTCTCATAGGTACTGGCCCAGGAATTTTACTGCTGGTTGATGGAGCTTCAACTTCTAAAAACATGAAAATATGGGTATTAGCTTTAATAGAGATATGACTAAGAGAAAAAGAATAAAAGTTTCACATATTCAAATGGAATCATGCTCCATTAAAATCGTTTTTAATAATTTGGCCAACATAATGTATAATTAACAATAATGATGCCTTATATAAAATCAATGTAAGTAAAAATATGTATATTATAACTGTTTATGAATTTACATATTTTTGCTGACTTGTAAAGTTTTACAAATTTTACTTATTATATATAGACAAATTATTCCCAATACATCAATTTGGTTTGGAACTTTTGTTCATTGTCTACTTTTGGTTATTGTCACAGGTAAAGGTTAAACAATTGCACAAAGTTTTATTAAAAGAATGAAATTTTTGATATTGGATAGCTATATTTTAAGCATAATTTATTATTCCATTTTCTAACTAGATTTTATAAAATCCAAATTGAACTCTATATAAAGAAATAGAACTTTTTAATGCATACCTTTTCTGAAATGATTAAGATTCGAAAACTATCTTCATTGAGTTCTTTCCATGTAAATGTATCTTGAACTGTATCTTGAGCCTGGACTAAAAATAATAAGAAAAAAATGGGCATTTATCATAAATATATAATAATAGAAGTAAAATATTAAAAATTTGTCATTATTATTGAGTACGTTACCAAAATATGACTACAAATCATAATAATGAATGATGAACAGGAAACTACTAAAACAAAGCTCTTTAACTTAGTACTTACTTTGTGTACTGCTATTTTGCAAGGATCATAGGGCAATTTTGTGACGTCGTTCCCATAACAGATCATCTTAATCATTTAATTTTTCACTTTTCTAGATTCTAGGTCAAGTTGGATGATACATAAGGCCATTATCAAATCCTAAAGTAGGTCTACAAAAATAAAGGTGAGATATAAAAATTTACACAAAACGAGATTACCTGAAATCGTTACAAATATATAAAACCAATATATTTATTGCAAGAAATACCTGCATTTATAAACAAAATTAATTGTAAAATTCAAAATAATTAAATGAAATAAACTGGCAAAGTCAAATGTCAGTCTTCTTCTATGCCATGGCAGTTTTTACTGGCCTCTTTCTTAAAGAAAGTTGGCCAATTAGCCACTGGTCTGTTTTAATCGATAATTCAGTTATTTTTTAGACTAGTTATTGTATGACATAAAAGGCAATACAATTGATAATTAAAACAGAAGAAATAGACTAACTTCTTATAAAGAAAGAACGCACGAAATTTAAAAAATATAGAAGAAAGATAATAACCTAACATTTTAAATAACCTAAAATTTTATTAAAATATTCTTAATTTCCAATCATTTCAGCTAAGTTTCTTATAAAATAATTTTATATATGTACGAACCCAATCCAATAATATCAAAAACCACATTGACAAAGTAAACAAGTATTAGAAATTAAAAATTTAAAAAACCGACTTCAAAAACGTGCATATGCCATCACCCCATCTTAACCAAATTTATATGGGACCACCCCTAAGGAACCCCCTTACTAACAAAAAAAGAATCATATAAATCGGACAAGGTGGTAAAGCATTATAGCTAAACATACATAAAAAATGAAGAGTTTGAGGATTTTCTCATGGACCCAATTAGTAGATTTTGACCAAATTTATATGGGACCACCCTTGAAGTACTCCCCTTTCTAACAAAAAAAGAATCATTGAAATCGGACACCGTGTTAAAGCATTATCGCTGAACATACATAAAAAAAAATAAAAACATTGTGATGAATTGAGAACCTTTTTCTTTTTGAAGTCGGTAAAAACGAAATAAAAAAAAATCACCAAAGCAAAAGCTTTTATGAATAAAATGTTCTCTAAAAGTTGAAACGTAAATAGTTTTTCCCCTTTTTCAGTTCTTCCAGGAACACCCATGACATATCAGAATACATAGGTCATACTCCTACTATTATGACAAACTATTAGGGTGGATTTATAAACTACGTTCAGTTCGAGTTGGCAAGACATAAAGGTACCATTTCGGTAGACGCGTAAAGCCTTGGTTTCTTTGAACACTTCGTCGCGGTGAGCGGACAGTCCGTCAACCGTCGCGTTTTGACGATTTTATCCAACCAGAGTATTTAAATGGGAATGGTTTTCTTGAATCCGCTTAGCTGAGCAGGACGGCGTCATGCCGCTGATTTGTCGCGAAGAGTCGGTTGATATCTGTTGAGTTTGATATCAGCGGAATCGTCGGCGTGTGCGGAGACTATATTGTTATTAATTTTAAAACAATGGGTGACAAATTCACACATACAAATGACATCATGACTTTATTTTTAGATTTCTTGGAAATTATGTCCTTTATAAAACTCAACACGAATTCAAAAAGATCTGTAGAAAGTCTAAAATACTCCCTAAATTTGGTTTCATTTCCAAAAAACCTCAGCTGCACAATGATATTAAAGCCACCTTCTATATCGCGACACAAAAACAACTCATCCACTGGCTTATTGGAAACTTTGACGGTTGCAAATGCCAGTTCCTCTTGTTCTTCCTCTTCCAACAATAATAACAACGCAAACAATTTATTTGCATCCATTTTAGTACCTTTCGTTTACATTCATAATACCTGACATAAACAGCACGTACAGACCTAGAGAAAGTATCAGTTTCTATATTTTTTAACAAACCACCTCGGGCGAAAATTGCTGTCCTCAGCGGTCGACGGACTGTCCGCTCACCGCGACGGAGTGTTCAAAGAAACCAAGGCTTAAGGCGACCGCCGACGCGACATACGACCGCCGACACGTCCGAGAAGTGTCGCTTCACATCTAAAATACATACAATTACACACATTTCGCACGAGGCGACACGACCGAAAAATGTCGTGGATACCCTTTTCGGTGGAAACCACTGATCTGTATTATTTTACTGGATAGGATATAGGCTATATTTAACATACTAAAATACCGTTCCACCACGGAGACCGGAAGTGCAACAACGCTGGCCGATTTGGGCAAATTATGGTGGGTTCACAGAACTGAAATTTGGGATAATTTGACATACCTAACCTAGGGATGCGCACGATGTATCGATGTTAAAAAAACATCGATTTTTCTCTTTCGATTATCGATATTTTTATCGATGTTTTTTTATGCGATGTTTTCATTTAACATCGATGTTTTTTATCTAATATCGATGTTTTTTAATTTTACTCGAAAAATATTGGTGTAGGAAACTACAGGTTGCTTGTTTATTAAAAATGTTAATAGTTTTATTATTATGTAGGTACTTATTATTTTATTTTCGATTTACAGATTTAAAATTTAGACAGGTGCCTAATTAGAAATTAAAATATTATTTATCCTGAATTAGTGAATCCCGAATAAAACAACTTATTTGTATATTGTTCATTATCGAGTCAAAGTTCTTGATTTTGATTATTTTTTCCCATTTGAATAATGATTTATTCCATCTAATAATTAATATAATTAATCGTAGAAATTAAATTGATTGTTAATTGAGCGTGTTTTTTTGCAATGTTCCTATCAGAAATTTAATCTTATTATTTTTTAATAATTAAAGTTATTCTAATTTTGACTTATAGGTATAAAGTGGCATCTTTTGTAATCGCAGCAAGTGTAAAAATTATCTACTAACTATATTAAGTTGAATATATTGCGAAAAGAAAACAAATAAAAATAAACCATTTTTGGTATTAAAATCAATTGTTTTCGGAGAAGGAAGGTTGGTTATATAAAAATAAATTTGGTCAGTGAACTTATAATTACTAATAGTTCTGGTTCGTTTGCTATTTTAAAAATCTAAATCTATTATAAATTTGAACAAAATAATCGAAACAAACAACCAGTGACATAGTTTTATTGTAAAAAACTAAAAATATTCATACATATCTATGTAAAATTACACATGTTCTTGAAAATTAACAAGTTTTGGCAATAAAATGAAAACTGTTTGTGATGATAAATATTTTTAAAGTAATGATAATAATAATAATAATAATAATAATAATAATAATAATAATAATAATAATAATAATAATAATAATAATAATAATAATAATAATAATAATAATAATAATAATAATAATAATAATAATTATTATTATTATTATTATTATTATTATGCTAAATAAAATGCATTTAAAATAAATAAACAACAATAGTACGTATTTTTATTTTATTTTCATGTTTTGGAATTGTGAATTGAACCGCGTCGCGAAATGCAAAATTGACTACATGTTCAATGCTTAACTGAGCTAAAGAGTCATACCTTCGTGTGTATTTTATGTTTTTAGTCGATATTTTTTACAACTTTCAGTTCTCTGACGTCTTGTTTGCAGGAATTTTAAACTAAATCCTTGCATATGACAGTTCCTGATGGTCCCGCCTACCACTTTACAAAATTCCAGCCGGAGGTACGATCATACCATAGACTTCATATTTTATCTAAGAAGGATCGTACTACATTGCAGCCACCAACTCTGAGTCTATTAATAATAATAAATAAAAATAAGATTATTTCCAATGTCTTGTTTATTTGTTCGTTTATAAAAAACATCGATGTTTTCTTTCCGATTTTTTTACAACATCGATAGTCTGTATTCGATGTATCATTTGATGTCAACATCGATGTTTTAAAAATTTTGCGCATCCCTAAACCTATAATTTGATTAGTTTTCTTCTTATTCTTCTTCTATTCCTTTTGCGGGCGATGTCCTTCGGGAAAATTCACCCATGATTTGATTTTTTATGAAAGAAAATATAAAAATGGAAACGTGAAGCATATTGTGTCTTCAGGAATGAACGTTTATTGTTTATTTCATACTCTTTTTACTTTGTTTTCCACAATAAAAACATCTTATCATAGCTTGTTGACATAATTAAATGACAAATGTAATGACAAATGGAAATAGAGGTTACGTTAAATAACATCCGGTCCGCCATATTATTTGCCCAAATCGGCCAATTTTTCGGAACGTTTTTTAGGGGGCTATATCCTATCCAGTAAAATAATACAGATCAGTGGTGGAAACCGTTCACTCGAGGTCACTGTCCTCGGCATTCGGTCGAAAATTTCTTTCGATCTAGGCAGCATTGCCAGATTTTAATACAGTAGATTTTAATAAAGGGGAAAATAATTATAATTTGCCGTGTAGTAAATAAAAAAAACAAGTATATAGGAAACGAAAAATAAACTTTTTTCTACCCAAATTAGAAAGAAAACAAAGAATAAAAACATTTTTAATATATACTTAACGTACGGGAAAAAAACCAATGAAAAATAATAAGTACCTACTTCTTTTAGGTCAGTCTGAATTAAATAATTCAAAATCGTAGTGTTTGGCATATGCATGTCCTTTTTATGATGCCCTATTAATTCTTTGTTTCATTTTAAATAAAAACAATGATTATCTTGATGTTTTTTTTTTATGGAGCCAACCTACAGTAGCGGATGCTTATTACGCTGCTTTTACTGCAGAAAATTTACTAGAGAAAATATTCTTTAACCATTTTCTGAAGAATGAGGCAAACTTAATAAATTAAGAACAAAATTTGCTAGAGACAAAAACAGTAGATCTACGTGAAAATAGTAGGTATGGCAACGCTGATTTTTTCCCACGAAAGGTTACGAAGGGTAAAATTAATGCACCTGTTGTGCAGTAGACGTAAGTCGCGTCGGCGGTCGCCTTACGCGCCTACCCAAATGCTACCTTAACCACAAATTCCACAAAATAAAATTATATTTAGTTATTTTTGTTTTAATTATATTTGTAGATGGTGTTGGTTATAAAATAATTATGAATGCCTTATAATTTCTTATCCAAAACATACTTACCGTGTCATTCTGCTCTGTTTATGTTGAACTCGAACTGAGCGTGAATTGAACTAAGATTATTTGACCTGTTCTTCCATCATGTCATATATATTTCTGTTTAAAATTTTATTAACGCAAGTGCTACTAAAACAACATGCAAATGTAATCATTGAAAACGCAAGAAATGAGCCCTTTCTAGCATGCAATACAAACACATACTGTACCACATAAGCCCTTTTAACTTAGTTTATTTTTGAAATAAGTACTTTAAATAGTGATTTATTACCTTTATCTAAGCAGATATCCTTCATCAGTTGCTTCTAGTAAGAATTTCATTTCGATTTCTGTTGTTTTTGAAACCGTCTTAAGTGGTTCTTAAAGAATTCGATGAATTTTGTGTAAATGATTATAATGTCGGTACAACTCATTCTTAACAATAAAAAACTGCTCCTAAAATATAAAATAAAAATTTATTTAATTCAACATAAATTTATTTGGATCAGATCAGTGCGTAGTATGGTTCTTTGCACATACAAAATCAGATACGAATTTGAACATATTGAACTGTTTTCTTTAATTTTGATATTAATTCGTTGATTACAATAATTACAAACGTTAAAGTTTTAAAATAAAAAACTGGTTACCCTGTATAATAATGAACAAGAATCACCATATGCTTATATTGAAGAAGGTGCTGCCAATCGAATGAATATTTGATTTATAAATCTTTTTCACTGTAGAACTTACCTCGAATAAAACTTATTTGAATTTACCTGACATTTAATTCAAAAACTAAGCGTTGATCTATTTTTACCAACTTTTTTGGCTCATTTTTTACGTCATCGCTATTGAATCGCAAACTATTGCTTTAGATCTGAGATTAAAGGAATAATTATCGGAAAAGGGATCATTGACAAGTTGTTACAGTTTAAAATTTAACGCTTAAATTGGTGCTATTTGAATGTATATTTATTTCAATAACACTGGTGTACTTTTTCGAGATACTTTGAGCTCTTAATAGTTTTGTGTTAAAAAATATTTGTTTTTTCTCATAAATCACGAGTGATTTTAAATATGTATTATAGAATTTTTAGGATAAGTTTAATAATTTAATGCTGCCAAAGGAATAAATTAAAATTCGTTTGCGATTTGCCATATCATTCTCTAAAATGAACCGTAATTGATAAATTTGAGTAAAAGAACAAAATTTTAACTGTATTTTTTTGTAATGAAGATTTAAAAAAATAAAAATCGGGGCCTGGAATTGTGTATCTAAAATTAAGTTAAATGAGACGTCTCTTTATGTTATAATCTATAATATAAAAATGAATCGCAAAATGTGTTGATAAGCGCATAACTCAACAACGCCTGGACCAATTTTACCAATTCTTTTTTTAAAATGTTCATTGAAGTCCAAGGATGGTTTTTACAGCGAGAAAAATTCGAATAATTTCCGGGAAAACCCTAAAAACAGCCCTTCTTTTTTTCCTATATATATCTATATATAAAAATGAATCCCTTATTTTCATTGGTCACGCCATCACGCGTGAACGACTGGACCGATTTCGCTAATTCTTTTTTTGTTGTGTTTGTTATTGTCAGAAGAAGGTTCTTATGAAAGAAAAAATTAGGAAAATTGCGCGGAAAATTAGAAAATTTCTATATATATAAAAATGAATCCCTATTTCCCTTGGTCACGCCATCACGCGTGGATGGTTGGACCGATTTCGCTAATTCTTTTTTTGATGTGTTTGATATTGTCAGAAGAAGGTTCTTATGAAAGAAACAATTAAGAAAATTGCGCGGAAAATTAGAAAATTTAAGAATATATATAAAAATGAATCCCTAATTCCCTTAGTCACGGGCATCCCGCGTAAACGGCTGGACCGATTTCGCTAATTCTTTTTTTGTTGTGTTTGCATTACAATAATAAACACTTTGTTTCTGAAATATTTTTTTCAGTTAATTATACCAATTCGAAATCAATATTCATAGTTAAGACAGGACAACGTCTGTCGAGTCAGCTAGTATTCGATAAAAGGGCTTAAAAATTTTGAAATACATTACCGTTCCTATCCCCACTGCTATCTTCAAATAAGCTCCACTTTGTGGTGCCACTTACTCAATACAATCGTAAACCTGTATGACATCTCCATCTTTTTCAGCCACATTTACAACATGACAATATTTTTACGTCATTTTAACATTCAATCAACTGTAGATTTGTTGGGCTAACTTCTACAAGAAAAATACTGACGAAAAATTTAAAATTACATATATTAATATAGACGTAAATTAAGAATTACAAAGTTCTCAATATAAGGTATATATATATAGCACTGCATACACATCACAGCATCAGCTGCTCAATTCTAAAATACACAATCAAAGATAATATACCGGGTGCATCAAAAATTAGGAAAGAAAAGTTGTCGTTTTGATTGAAAAACAAATCGAATTGCTATCGTATCGAATGCGAAATAATATCAAAATACATTTAATTATTTCAATATTTGTCAAATTCGATATACCTGAAATACGATATGCTTTCCAATACGGATTTTTATTTCCAAATTTTTATGGCAACCAATAGAAAAAATAAATTATTCGAATCAAATATGTTTATTTCTCAATATTTGATACTCATATATAAGTTAGTATACTTTGGGCAAATACTTTATTTTTACATTAAATAAACTCCAACCAAAAAAAAAAATAATAATAATATAATAACAAATAAAAGCTCTTTATTACATTTTCCGCATTATTTTTTCTTTTTCATTTAAACTAAAATAGATAAGGTTGAGCTTAAAAATCTAAAAGTAATAAAGAGCATTTATAACTAAAAATAAAATTATCTGTACACTTCAAGCTTACAAAGTAAATAAATAAATATATGGATAATCTGAGAGCACTTGCAAAAAAAGTACCTAACGAAGGGATTAACGAACCGCAACGGTACAGACCTCATTTCGACTCATTACCGTAGCAACGGCAGACGATCCCATAGCAAATATGGTTGTTGTTACCACGGCAACAGCGTCGAGTAATGTCAAAACTGTCGCGGTACGAGATGAGACGAAGCGGAACCACGTTTGAACCCGCTGTATTGGATAGAAAAAACGATAAAAAGAAGCCAAAAAAAAGAGAAAAGGTATTTTCGATGACGATTTCGAATTTCGACTTGATTTGATCAAGCGTCGTTTAGCTGGCAAGCCTGTTTTCTAATGGACATCGGCACTAAACGAGTAAAAATTGCTGCAACATGTACGCAATATAACAAAACTTTCCGAATAAAATTCATTGAATTTTCAATAAGGAATTATCGGATGAAAGCCAATTTAAATGCCAAATCTCGTAACTTTAGTAGTTTTCAATGAAATTAATAAGTTACCAATATTTTGGGTGTATGTTGCATAAATATTTCGACAATATCAAACTCGTTTAGTAAGTTATATCCAAAAAACTGATTGATATGTGTAGACTTAGCATTACAAATTGATATTCCAACTTTTTTTTTAAGAAAAATAAATATATGTAACATTTTTTTTAATTAAATAGAAAGGGAGTTTTTTTTATCCGACAACCCTAATATGGCTTTTGATAATATCACCTCGAGTACGATATAGGTGTTTTTTTTTGTTGTTATTATTTATTCGTTTAATGAAGAGTTTAAAGATCTGATTCTCCGTAAAGAGCCGTTGAGAAGGACATGTAATCCAGGGCTCCGGGGACGCTGCCGGGTCCCTTGTATGGTGGCATACGTTGAATGCAGTATTCGGCTTGGTCTGGTGGAAGTTCCCTTCTTAATTCGTCAGGTAAAATGTATGGCTGAAAATACATAGGTATAACACGTTTTATTTAGTTTTATTAGTGCGTAACCTTGACAATATACAGAGAAAAAAATTTGATTATCTCACCTTATCTGCAGCTAGAATACGGAAACTATCAATGACTTGTTCAGCAGTGTCGGTGTCTGTGCTTTCCCTGGTCATGAAATCTAAGAAAGCGTCAAAGTGTACATAACCAGTGCTGTTTGGATCAACAACGGCCAAAATCCTTTGGAAATCTATTTCGCCTTGTCTGTCTTTACCTAAAATACAGAATTTTCAAAGTAAATATAAATGTAAGCATTTATCATACTGTTAATAAAATAAAATTGTTTAATTTATCACTAAAATTAAATAACGAAAAAAAGCCCCTTCGAGCTTACATTAATTTATAATTGGATGACCTTATGTATTTTGATGTGATCTTTCCGAAAAAAAGTAAAAAAAGATGTAGCTGTTGTTAAATTTTTTTAAATTAGGAAAAACCGGGTTTTCCGGAATTTTTCATGATAAAAATGCTAATTATCTGGGCAAGTATCATTCCGATAGTAAAAATAAATGCATTAATCGAAAGAGGAGGCAAAAATAGTTCGGAAATTCATTGCACAGGTAGTTTTAATAGCGAATTTCTCGCCGCCAGAAGTGCTTTTAACAAAAAGTTGTTTTTTTCGTTTCTTTAATCAGAACTATGGACTTGAAATTTGCGATGAATTTGTGGCGAAATTATAAATGTTAGACATATGTGCTCAGGAGAGAAGTTGCGTATTTTTTTGTTGGCTCTCAAATAAAATAAGTCCCGCGGCGAAATCTGCCATAATTTTTCGAGAATTCGCAGGAAACCGAAAGGCGTAGTTTTTTTTTAAATTTTTTTCCCATATGATTTTCTCCGGGTTTTCCGAAAACATCTAACAAAAGAATATATTTGAAAAAACTAACTTTGCCATCGGAAAGAGCACAAAAAAATACACAAAAAGGTATACTTTAAAAATGTTAGGAATCCTAAGCCTGAGTGTAAGTTCCAACTTGGTGATAAGCTTGTTTTTTGTTCTCTAACATCTGGTTTTTAGTTATTTACAAGAAAACTTGAAATGGGAGAAGATATATATGCATGACAAAAATACGTATTTTCTAGTTACGTTCCGAATGGGTGACGAAATCTGCAATACTTTTTGAAAAAATTGCAAAACAGTTATAGCACTGTGATAGAATTTTCTTAATTTAGGAACGTACTTACTCAATAAATTGCTGAAGAAGTCCGAAAAACCACGTGTACACAGAGCTTGCTGAACACGGTTATTAAAAATCTATGCCAATGAACACTATCAATTGATTCAATTTGTAATAATATGACCGTTTGAAGTTTAAACATGTCGGATAGCCAACGTCGAGACCATGGCTATCCTTGAAGCGACGTGCGGTTAATTTCGCGGTAATTCTATATTTTGCACAAAACTCAAGAAACGTCTTATAGCAAATAAATTTTAAGCCTAATAAATTTAGGCATGTAAGAAATTTAAAACTAGAAATCACAAAAAAAATCAAATTACAGAAATGCAGTGTATACGCGAGTTTTGGAACCCGCGGAGCGCGTGTAATGGGACTTTTGTCGGGAGAATTCTACAACTTAGAAGAAACATACACACTTTAAACTTTGTATACACATTCAGAAGACATGAAATTTGGGTTTGCTCAATTTTCAGACAAAAAACTGAAAATCGTCAATTTTAGGCAACTTTTCTCAAAAACCGTGTTTTTTGGTCGTCACTCAATGAACAGTGGTCAAAAAAATATGTTATTAATGTTTTTAAAATGTGTTTAATATTTATTATACATGTAAAAGTTGTTCTTCTTAAATTTACTTGTATTATATGTTTTTTGTTTTTAAATTATATCAGAAATAAATTCAATATTTTCACTACCCCCAAACTTAAACTCTGGATGCGTCACTGCTATCTTTTATAATGTATTTAAGCTATTTTATGTAATTTATGTATACTAATGGATCTTTCCGTAATATATATTTATTTATTTAGATACTCACCAATAGAGTATCCCAAAGATACGAGACACGACTTAAATTCTTCTGGTGTTAATCTGCCCGTTCGGTTCTTATCAAAGTGGTTGAAAGACGATCTGAATTCATTGAGCTGCTCTTGAGTTATGCCTTTGGAGTCGCGGGTCAATATCTGGTTTTCGACTTCGTTGATATTACGGTTGATTGAAGTTAGGAGTTGTTCCCAACCGACGCGGAGAGTTTCCATGGTGTATTGAGTATATCTGAAGAACAATTGCATTAAGAGATTTTACATTTCAACAAAATATATTAAATAAAAATTAGCAACAAGAACTAACTGGCATTTCCCTATTTATAAAATTTTAATAATTATTATTGTGACCATTTTTAGTATACCATAATTGGCCCTCTTTCTGTTAAAATTATATTTTTTTTGTCTGTTGACTAGACGTGGATTAGACCGCTTTTCCGGACTAGTTATATTGAAAATATTTTGTGTTGTAGTTTTTAAAAGCGAGGATGGAGGAAGAGGAAATTCTGGAATCTCTTGACTGAATATTTTTAATCTTAAATTCGTCAACTCTGTAATTTATGATTATTTATCAAATCAGTTATTCTGTTCGATGTCACAAACGAAATAGCTAACTTTTTAAATTGTGGAAATTGTATTTATGATTTTTTTGTAAACTCCAAACAATACAATAGAGTAAAAAAAATATATGAAGGGCACAAGGAAAAAATGATCAGGGTTGCAAAAACTACTTTTCATAGAATACACAAAACAAAGTTTAACGACTCATATTTTTTAGCTGTATGGCTTTTAACTGTGATCATTCTACCCAAACTCCGGCCATACCAGTAGAAAGATTGGCTGTAAAACTATAAGATGGCGGTGTTAGTTCATTTTTAAGAAAAATTGCCTATTTTCCCCTGTACTCTTCAACTTAATTTGTAGTTGAATTCCCAATTTTAGTTGAAATGCCAGTAGATTCAACATATCTAGCTTGATTTATACATTGATGATCCACGTGGTTAATGTAAAAATGGTAAGTTTTTAATGACTAACAAAAAAAACTACATTTTTAATTTAAAACATAAATTATAAAGTATAATTAATTTTGTATATTTCTATCCTAGATATGACAGTTTTTATTCACGTAAAAATAAAGATAATAGTAATAAATGAGGAATTTAAAGTGTTTACAGTAGAAATTTATTAGATACAATTAAAAATTTGCTGTTTAATAAATCTGTACGCGAGAAGCAGGTGATTTGAAACATGTTCAAAATTTTACAAGCGTACCAATTATTTTTACGATTCTTAAATAACATTTTTTTATTTTTAATTCTGCTCAACTACTTCTCGCATATAGAAACATTGTTTGCAACAAACCTTTCTTCCTGACTAGAGGCATGGAAATATTACAAATAAATAAAATTAGTAGTCTAAAAAATTGTTAAAGAAAATCACAAATTTTAATTGTATTTGGCAAAAAAAATTAAAGTGGTTTGAGTAAATACAAATAATCATCCCAAATTTTAGCCAATGCATGAGAAGCTTTTAAAATTACATCAAGAAAGTATTTTTGCCTATAAATTCTCTCGAAATTTCCGAAATCATCACGAAAATCACTTTAAAATAAATTGGTTAGTCAGAACTATAAACGCAGCAGCTTGTGGATCAAATAATTTGGGAAGAGTAAAAAAAGGATGACTAAACATCAAGTGAAGAGTTTTCAAAAAAAAAGTCATTTAAATATTCAAAAAGATAATTTATAGGGAAGTCATGGGGCATTTTATACAATAATTTCATCAAAATCGTATAAAACTAAGGAAGATTTTGACGTAATCATCAAAATCGTATAAAATTAAAGGGGAAATATTAAAAGTAATTTTAAAAAACCGAACAAAAAAAGAATCATAGAAATCGGACAAGGCGGTAAAGAATTATCGCTAAACATATTTAAAAAATGAAGAGTGAGGATTTTATCATGGACCCAATTATTAGATTTTGATCAAATTTATATGGGACCACCCCTAAAGTACCCCCGTTCTAACAAAAAAGAATTATAAAAATCGGACAAGGTGGTAAAGAATTATCGCTAAAATTACATAAAAAATGAAGAGTGAGGATTTTCTCATGGACCCAATTAGTAAATTTTGACCAAATTTATATCGGACCACCCCTGAAGTACCCCCTTTCTAATAAAAAAGAATCAAAAAAATGGGACGTCGTGTTAAAGAATTATCGCTAAAGTCGGTTAAAAATTAATCACCAAAATCATACGAATTTTAGGTCATTTCCGAAATACGGGTACGTTTTGACCTTAAGGAGGTCCTTTGCCACCAATGTTAAATAAAAAATATTAGATTATGACTAAAATTAATTTTTTTCTAATAGTAGAAGTCCTTATTTATCTAATTTAAAAAAAAATTCTCAAAAATTTGCACGGTAAGGTATAGTTAAAAGTTCAACATTAGATAAATAATGACTTCAACTATTAGAAAAAAAAATAAATTTTAGTCATAATCTAATATTTTTTATTTAACATTGGTGGCGAAAGGACCTCCTTTGGTTTACCCTTCGCATTTTTGACGTTCTGAGCCTTCCGTTATTGATTTTAAAACGTCAACATAGATTATGTAGAATCGTTATAGTTTTAATTCAATCAATCGGCCATGATTTCAGGATTTCAGCTATGGTTTTGGGATTTCGGCTATGATTTCTGTGTCGATTTTGAAATTTCTGTAACAATTTCGGGATTTATGTGATGATTTCTGAATGGTTCACTCCCTTGTGAACAAACAGTATTTTTTTATTTAAATACATCCACTGGAACGAATTTGGTAATGTCTTAAAACTTGTCTTTGTCTAGAAGTACCTCAAGGCTCACATATCGAGCCTCTGTTTAAAAAAAATATGTTTTTGATACTTGACAGATAAGTTGCGCCCGCGATACAATTGCTTCAGTAAAAACGATACCTATTTGACAAATACAATCGACTCAAGATATATATATACCTTAAGTTGGCAATATTAACGTTGGTAATGTCAAGATACATGCCCAAAAATAACCGTTTCTCTTAGTCTATACTTATTCGCTCCGTGCGAAGTCATGGAAAGGGAAGCAAAAGCGATACTAGCGCTAGCTGCGGATAATTCGTGCATTTTAGGGGGATATTTTGTAATTTTGGCATATCAAATACACGTATACATTTTACTTTTTTTCAAAAAAGTAGGTAAAAACAACACAATAAGCAACCGGAGTTGCTGTGTTGAAAATTGTACAAATACTAGCAAAAAAAAAACAGTGAAACTTATATAACAAATTTCACTAACAAAGTGGAAATTAAATCAAAGAAATAAATGGATAGGTGTACAATAAGAAGAAAAATTACCTTTATTTTTGTGATAATAACAGTAATGCTGGAAATAGTAGACATCAGAAACTAGAAAGTTTTTAAATAAACAATAAATTATCATTTTACGATGTTCTTTAATATCCCTTTATTCTTAAATGTTCATTCAGCAAGGACTAGATTTCAAGATTTCTGCCGTTGATTATAATATTTGGCTGGTATGCAATTTTGTGACTTACTGATCGGAAACCAGTTTTAATCATTCATTCTATGTTTTCTTTAGAACAATAATGATAATATAAGTAGCGATCCTTTTTATACATTTTAACTTCACGCTATTATAAATGGTTTCTTCAATGACAACTTATTAGACTTAGGCAACTTCTCATACATTTTCCAGTAAATACTGTTGCCTGCCTATATTTTATTATTGATTTTTAATGATTATACATAATTTTCTTCAATTTAAGCGTGAAAAATATATAATAATAATAAATTAATGTTTTAATTGTTTTATAAATCCATATACTTTTATTAAAACTAACATATATACTTTTTATTTACGAATTCTATTAAAAATTGTATTTGTCAGTATAGGCAGAAATACTCCTTTAATACCAAAACAAATTGGCGCTGCTGTCGCGCACGGAGCGAATACTCCGAGCGTGAAATGTTACCGACGTGATAATAAATTGTAAATTAATGTATTAAATACACAGTGTTTCAATTGCATATATTAAAAATTCAAGTTTCTTACCTGTTTTCGAAGATCATGCTCTCCTGTACAGCTTGATGGATCTTTTCCAATTCTTCGATGTGCGGCTTGTAGGCGTATACGCCCTGTTCGTATTCTTTAAGTCTGTGCAATTGATCTTCGAGCGTTCCGTGGAGTCCCATACCGATCGCGGTGACGGCGTCCAATTGACGTTCGATCCAAGGTCCGACGGCGTTTGCCTTCTCAGCGAATTGACGTCTAAGCATTTCGTTATCTGGTATTCAAGGGGTCAAGGAAAACATAATAAATAGCGAATCTTTATAGGAAGACAAAGTTTAAGAAGAACAGAATTCATTAGCTGACTGTAACCATACTTTAAAATAACAACAAACTTCGATGCTGCATTTTTAGAGTAAGTAAAAACAACAGCAACCCAAGTTATGATTAAAGAGGAGGTTGTCAGCTTTAACAATAATTAGGGTTGCCATTGTTTGCATCGAAGTTTTTATTTAGCCTGAAATGTTCAAGAAGACAAACGGTAACTGTACGTCACCTCGCTTCATAAATAAAATTAATTTTTCTATACAATTAAAAAGGATACTTTGTTGTTTTCTAAGTTCCGCTTGTAGTGTGGCGTCTCTCTGGGGTACCAATTGCCTAACTTCTCCCCATTTCCTGGTCAAATCCTGGAAAAAAATAATAAGAGCGCTCAAAATAATTAACATTTCTTTATTTATCGCACCGACATTTTACCTCTAAGTCACAACCAAATCCTTCCTTATTTAGCACAAAACAAATTAAAATTTTATCATTAATAAAAAAAGAAATGTTAAAAATCTTGTGAAGGATGATCTGCGAGATGAAATGATTTGGTATGATGATAGTGGATGGTTTAAAAATCAAACCGTTGCTTACGTGAGCTGTAAGAGTAGTGTAGGGATTTTCTAATCCCCCAGGTACTTGATGTTGCTTAACAATAGATTCTACTTCTCTTACGAGTCCTACGATGCTTTGGTATTCTTTGTCAGCCTCTCCTAATGTTGCCTAAAAGTAAATTTTATCATAAACATTCACGAGACTAATAATAAACCTTCTGACCTTGAAGTGATGATGCGCATCAATCAGACCTTGTATTTCTTCGACGGTGTGAACGATAAAGATGTCTACCAAGTCTTCTCTTGTGCCGTCCAACCAGTTGTTGAAAGGTGCGGCGCGTTTGGCGAATTCCAAATGGAGGATGTCGATTTTCTCCAAGATTCTTTCCGCCTCGTCGAGAGCTTGACGTCTGCGTTGAGTTAGAGCTCCTAATCTGTCCCACTGATCGCATATGCGTTGACATCTCGCGTTTACACTAGCGCTATCGTGGTATTCTAATGTACTAAAAATACACTTGTCAGTCATTTGTGAAATCAATAGGGATCCGATTTACTTACTTTAGTTCCTGTGCGATAGCTGCAATTTGTTCAACGCGATCTTGATGAGCAGCTAAATCAGATTCGAAAGCCTCGTGCTTCTTTTTCAAAGCCTTCAATTCGTTTAGACGACACTGCCTAAAGTCCTGGCTTTGCAACATTTCTTCTTTGCCGCGGGTCCATTCCTCGTGCGCATCGGCTTTGTGTTTGAATTTCTGCGCCAAATGTTCCAAACGTTCGAGACGCATCATCTCCGACAGCAGCCATTCTTCGAAAGATTTTTCGGCGTGTTCCAGACCTTTCCAAGCGTTAGCGATGTCCTACGATGTATCAATTTTTAGCATATTTCATTGGTGTTTGAAATCGTACTTACCGAAACCATTTTACCTTCGGTTGGCATGTATGCGGGTCTGTTGGACAGTCTCAACTTGGTCTGAAGAGTGTTGAAGTTGGTCTCCAATTTAGCTTTCTGTTCGACGCGTGGTGGTTTGTGTTTGCGACGATAGGTGCGATATTCTTCCAATTTTTTCTGGACGCCGGCTAAGGAATTGTCGGTTTGACGGGAATTCAACCAAGGCATGGTGCGGCGAATCCATTCCAAAAGCTAAAACGATCAACAGTTATGTGTCGGGTACTGCTACGTCCATTTATGCAGATATATAGTTGAATAAATCGATATAGTGTGAGATTTAAAGATATTTTCTCTAGTCGATACTTAATGCCGACAAAGAGGTATGTAGTTGACATCTGTGTAGAGTCAACGTGGACTGGAATGTTAAAACGTATTCTAATTTGAGTACAAACAGGAATGGGCTTTGATTAACGAAACAGCAACGGCCGAGTTTTCTCTCACTTTATAGCAGATATATTCGGAAGTGATTAGGAATAACAGACACGATTTGGCAAATATGAGATTTTATTTTGTTTCTGCAATTATGTAAAGTAGATAGAAATGTTTACTAGAGATTGTATCTTATTTGGATTTCATAGTGTCAAAAGATTGGATGAAAAATACTTCGTTGCCCTAATAGAAGATTTTCACTTATTTATCAGCTACAATAAGAATTGATTGCCCTATTATTTATATCCAAGCATTAAATACGTGTATTTATACTTACATCGCTAGCCAAACGTTCATATTCCTCCATTAAACGTTCATTTTCTTGGTTGACTTTGAGAACTTTGCAGATTCTGTTTGCGGCAGTTTCGGCCTATACAATATAAAAAATTTTTCAAAAACAAAAAAACAATAAAGATTTAAAAAAAAAATAAATGAAAAATTCACCATTTAAAACAGTTGAAAATCATAAAGATACAGTTTAGAAATTTGATTATTTTGCAATTATCTTCCAGAATATAAAATTCAATCAACATTTTTTGCCATTACGGTTGTGGAAGTTTCATGTATTACTTTCAACTGATAATATTTAGAAACTTTGTAACCATTTGTAATGTTTCTATTGGTTACTTATGAGCGCGAATAATAAAAAAATGTTATTTTAAAATGAAGGTTTTTTTGTTCTTTATTGTTTTTACGTAAATAAGATGAGTTGTTCTAACTAATTATACTTTATACATAACTAAAAGCTTATTGAATAACTTCTTTTTAATTTGTTACTTATTATACTCTTCACACAATAGTTTGTGAAGAATGTTATAGGTTTACTTTTAAGAAACTAATTTTTTTTATAATTAATTTTAAACAATTTTTAAAAATGTCACGTTTTTGTCCGCATTATAAGTCAAAAACGAAAAATAATGTTAACTTGAAAATTTCAGTAAAATCAAGCTCTACAGGATTGTTACTTAATGACAGGTCGTAATTCCAAGGGCGCATTCTTGATTAGATGTATACTAATATTGTAAAACTATAAACATGTTATTTTAATGGAAATGCAAAAAAATAAAAAAAATCTCAATAATTAAGTTTATCAAAATTGGTGAATTTTTCACTTTCGGCTACAATCTGTTAGTGAAAAAAGTATTAAAAAAAATCACCTTCTGTGCACCAGAGAAGCGATGGTAGTAAGAAGACACGTACGTCATCACTGCTCGTTCGTCTGGCATAGCTGTGTTCTGTAAGTCTGCATGCAAACAATTGGGTAATTACGATAGCACAATCAAATCGACAAAAAAAATTAATAAACACATCAAAAAACAAAAACGCTGTGCTCATATCGCTGCTTCCTCACTGTAGTAGCATAAAAAGAGGTTAAAAAGGGCAACAGCAAAAGAAAAAACAAAAATATGTAAAAAGTACAAAACAATTTAGATATGGGATATTATAAAGTGTATATACCAAAGAATATTGACTTATTTTAACAAATAATATATATACACTCCGTTGTAATTTATAAAAACAAAGATGGTATGAAGCCAAATGGCCAAAGCTTCGTTAATAATTGACCAGGATTGTATTTACATGAACATGGAAATTTTTACTATAATTCCATTTTCTTTATCTGTCTTTTTGTTATTGAAAATGCAATATTTCACATTTTAATATCTCTTGCATCAAAACCATTTTAAAAATTGAGCATTAAAATTTTCATTATTTTAAATACTATTTAATTTTAATAATACTTTTAATGTTGACAAGATACAAGGTGTTTCAAGCCCTAAGTGTATCAATTGTATATTACAAAAAAAAAAAAACGAAAAAAACGAAAAAAACCAAAAAAAAAACACTGTAACTTGAAAAAAAATGCTTCAGAGACGTAGATAGACAATTTTAACATAGAATGTACCCTAAACTGAAAAGACTTATTTTAGTCCAGCTTGATTCATAATTTTCCCCAAGTTTTTTTTTTTTTTTTCGGTAAAGACTGAATTCTTTATTAAAATAGGTCAATATTATATGTACCACCCTGTATGGTAGAGTAAGATGTAAATAAACCGTGGAACGTCGGCAATGGTTTTTTTTATAGCTCAAACGTGAACAGACTTTCAATCTGTCTTTTTGAGTATTTGTACTTGTTACATAAAACGAACGCTGGTCAGTAATGGGTTATTTTTGTGATTGTATGCAACAGATACCTGTTGGGCCCCTTGGAAAGCGTGGTAATAACATGACACGTAGGTCATGATAGCACGCTCATCAGGTTTAGGAGTGTTGATCAAATCTGCAATTATGCAATGGATAATAAATAATATATAAAAATAAATAAAAAAAAAGGAAAAAAATAGAATTTTAAAAGTTGATAGAAGCAAATGTTACAGAAAAATATCTCAATATCATTAAAACCTTATACAGTGTGTCCTCGAGCGGTCTTAAGTATACCTGTTGTCCACAGTTAAAAATTTCTGGTTTATTTCGTGAAATAGTAACTAAAACATAATATACAAGGTACTCACTAGTCAATATCGCACTGATCGGTCCCAAGCGTCTGAATAAGAATCTACTTTTCGTATAAACTGTCTATTACATTGTAAAAATATATGGTACATTTATTGAACAGCATAATAAAATAATTTTAATGAATAATGTTTAATTATAAACATTTTTTAAAAAATAAACTAAAATTTGATTTCATATTATCAAAAATCATATACCAGTAAGTACTTTTCAGAATGAAGAACGATTTTTCTAAAGGTATACTTGGAGAACATACTATGTAAGGTGAGAATAATACACTTTTCGCTAATGAAGAATAATGTGAGTTTCAAAGAATTTTCCGAAATTTCTGTATTACGAAAAAATTATAATAGTACAAACAAACTTACCATCAGGATCCAACATCCTTGGAATGTCGAGATACTTCTCGGCAACATCAAAGGCGGTATTGAGGTTTTCGAGAGGATTATCTTTAGACAATTTGTTGTAGTCGATGAGATCTGGACGGTGACGATGGATGAGAGCGCAAAAGGCCAGACCGTCTTTAAAGGAGAGATGGAAGTTTTGAACGTTGACATTTTTGTAGGGGGCAGTCTTGCGTTGACACCATAACAGGAGACCTTCTTTGGCTGTCATCTCCTCGACGGAGATATCCTGAATGGCGAATCGAAGGATGATGGTCCATATCATACCGAGGGTCATTTTTAGGTTGCCATCAACGATTTCTGCAAAAATGTAAGAACACGTACTGTAACGTCTAGTATCAATTGACTTGCTAGTATCTAAATAATGTATGGTACGATATTACAAATGAATATGACATAATAAAATCAGTATAGATACATAATATAGACATGACCTTAAATTTGTGAACTATAATGAAAATAGATGATTTCTATTACGTAAGTAGATGAGATTAGCCAGTTCTGGACCAAGGTCAGAGGTACAGAGAGAGGTAGTTGGGTAATTAGTAATTATCCTAAGTTCCTACCCCCACCCTTCGCGCAATTAGCAAATTATCAAAAATACTTAAAGAAATAAGTCAACAATAATGTTTTTGTTAAACTATTCAATTCATTTTAGATAAAGTATAATTTCAATGACTAAATTTTAGTAAAATGTCGAAAATGTAATGGAAAGTAAGAAGTATATGGTTCCTTATAATCGTACTTGGCGTTCCCTTTAAATCGATAATGACTTGGCTGAAAACTCATCAAGATTGCAGGAGATATGTCTAAACCACATAAGAGCCATGAGATAGATACACTTCATAAAAAATGCGAAGGAAATACTTTTAATTTTTACAGATACGTTGACTTTGACAACTTTTATGGATCCATGTAAGATAACGGATTAAGTTGTAGAGGACTATGGAAATTGTTAATCTATTAATAAAGGAATTTATATATTTTGTCTTTCTTTGTTTAGACTCAATTGCTACTCTAAAAAGTTAGATTTTAACTATAATTCATTTAAAAAAAAATCTGATGTGTAACACATGACTTTCCTGTCTCGTTATTACTTGATTTTTTCTGGTTATTTTGTACAACTTATTGTATCACCACTGTAAATATTTATTGTGAACGAAAATACTGAAAAATTAAAATTTTATATTTTTACGGTTCATTTTAGAGAAATTATATATAGAGAATAATATCGCAATCAACTGCTATTTGAAGAATTTTCTTAAAAATAAGAATTTTGCACTTTTTGTCAAATTTCTCGAATACGGACCATTTTAGGAAAATTACGTATAGGACAAAAATTATAAAGAATTCCATTACAAGCAGATATATTCCATAAAATAGAAAAACCTCTTCCTACCCAGTTGTTCCGACTATGCCCAACATTTAAACAGTTCACCACAGGATTAAAGCATAAAATTTAAAATTCAGTGTTTTTATCAAATATCTCAATTATCTAGAAATGAATAAACTTACCTTCAGCTCCGATGGATACGAGTTTGACTCCTTTGCTGGCGATGTAGTCCAACGCCTTATTGACATTGGCGATTTTGTGGAATCTCATCTTGCCACGGTCGGGCTTGGGCAGTGTCTCTCCTGATATTACTTCTAACAGCAACATGAGTTTCAGACCGTTACGGAAGTCTTCTTCTATGTTTTCTATACCGGTGCCGGCCTTCCTCAAATGGCTGTTGCACCATGCTGTAAATGTCTGGAATAAAAAAAAAACATATATTTAGTGTTTAAATCAAGGAGAGACTTGTCTGATTTAGAGACAGCTTTTTTTAATTGATCTAATGTAATTAATTTAAAATCAGTCAATGAAGATTGAATATCATTTAAAAAAATTTGGTGACAATCATCAGTTGAAGGTATTGAATTTGTTATTTCACATATAATATTTACAAAAAAATTATTTAATTTGTTGGCTGCTTCTTCTTCCGTTTTAGCGAAAGATACAGATCCATCAACAGAAAACCCAACAGAGTCAAATTTAATTTCCATATTTTTATTTTTAATTAATTTTTTTTAGTGTTTTCCACATTTCCTTAGACTCATAGAATCTATTTTATGTTCATAAAACTCTTTTCTTGCACTTCAATGAATTAACTATTTTTCTTTTATTTTTGTATTCATTCCACAATACATTTTTATCTGGACCTAAGGCTCTTTGAAACTTTTTTATTTTGAAAAGGGATGAGCAACAAATTCTCAAATATTCAAAAAACGAAAATGTTATCGGCGGTGTCCGCCTATTTCTGGGTTTACGCAAAACAACTAATTTAGTATATCACCAATTATTATTATTATATCATACAAGCTCGGAAAATTTAGTTTCTATTTGTAGTACAGTATTTCCTAATTATAGCTCATATGCCGGAATGATTTTTTTTGATTCTATGTTTATTTTACGCCTCCAATACTAAAAATAGATATTAAATTGCTAAATATTATATAAAAAAAACATGATATTATCGAAATTATTAAGTCGATTTGTAATTAAAGGAGAAATAAAATAACGTCTATTACATTCTAGAATAATAATGTAAAAAAGAAACAGTTTAGCCAGTTTGTCGTATACCGGCACATGATATGTAAGCATATTCTAACTTTACGTTCATAAATCTGTAGATGAAATTGTGGGACGATGCTAAAATATATTTCTGAACTTTGGCGCGATGCCCGCTCATTGCATATTTCTATCGTGATTCAGAAACGGCCAATAAACTAATATGATAGAATACAATTTATAGTAAAAACGGTCAATTTTATCTTTAAAGCAATTACAGAAATAGGATATGCGTAAACTTGAATGAAAGAAATACAAATAAAATGGTATATTTATATAAAACGGTAAATGTTACATTTATGTAACAACGTTACTGGCCTTGGATACCCTTTGGATTCAATCGATTCAATATTTTTTATCACTTAAGCTACCATTTCGCCGCGACAGTACGCGAGACATCTTACGGTCTCTTCACGTCTGAACACATGTAATTATATGAAACACATTTCGGTACACGCGACAGACAACATCAGATTTAGTATGGCAATATTTGCCGCCTCACTGGTGTCTTGGTCTCCTGTCGTTTGACGCGCGTTCCCAAATGGTACCTTTATGTTAGCCTTTTTCTTCTCATTAAGCTTTAAGTCAGAGAAACCGTGTGTCAACAGTGTAGGTTCTAAAATGTCCATACAATTGTTTAAAAAGCAAAACCCAAAACTGTTAGGACTCTTAGGATAGGTGATGGTTTATTATGTAAAAAATATTAGGCAGAAGGCGAAACTCTTCCATAAACACTGTGACACCGTTGGAATTACAGATCTGAATGGAAATTACACTTTTGGGGGTTGAAAATTAGTAACCTGGCGCCCTTTGTTCAATAATTAAAAAAAATGAATTAGAAAAACGCGCATGTAACTGAAACCAAACTTCCTGCAACTATTTTAAATATTTGGCGGATAAATGTATCTAGCAATTTGCCAAATAAAAATATAAAGTTGTATTAGTGCGCCAACTTCTATTTTGTTTTACCTACTGTTAAATAATAAACAAAATTTAAACTTTTAGAACAATATACAGAAATCGCATACTTCGATTTTCTCTTACTATACGGAAAATGGTCGCACTGCGCAGCTTTCTGAGAGCCTTTTAAAAGGAAATAGAAAACTCCGCCATTTTGAACACTTGCAAGCATTGGTTCATAAAAATACATTATTTTAATATTACATAATTATTTTTATTTTCATACGTGTTAATCTATATTTTTTGGTACATCATTGTCCTCTGGCTGATTGCATCTCTGTCACAATATACCTAAGTATACTGTGTCTGTGGCACATTATGATGAGTGAGCCTAACACGAGTGAGACGATATGCCGAATGCATATAGCTAAAAAGAGAAGACAACACGCCAACAGATCCTTCAAACTGTCAAAGAACACATTAATTGGCGCGCCGCTCACAAGCAAGGTTGCCAAACCAGTGTTGCCAGTCTAGTACAATTCACAAATAGCTACGTTCGTTTGATCTGTCTACAGGCACAGCATAATTTTGTAAATAACCAAAGGAATAGAGTAAGGTTCTTTTATTGTGCATAATAATTGTTTTTCTTTAATTCTATTTAACCATAAATATGAGACACGAAAAACTGGCAGAACACTAGTTCTTTTTTTGGTCTTACTAGATTGGCAACATTTTTCGTTAGAAATTTGTCAGTTCTATGATCGAACTGTCACTTTTTTTTTAAATAACTTTTTTTTTCGGCCCTTTCCGATTTTATTTTTGGAAGAAGATGGCTGTTGGGATTTAGCTCCGCATTGTGTTAAATAGTGTTGAGTAATAATTAGTTTCCGAGCTTTTTGTTTTGTCCAAGGGCCCCCGTGCCAATGTTTATGTTACTTTTATTTTGGATGATCTCAGAAAGCTACAGAATGGAATTCTGTCTTACCAATATGCTGGTCCGTTTTATTTACCTTGCGAAGTAGAGATTTCCTTTTTATTTCAAACGTTCTTACGATGGTCCCGTGCCCCAAGCAGTCCTGTAACATGATGAGCTTCGGTGTGTGTGTGTGTGTAGCCTAACAGAGGACTCTTTCTAGTGCCGCTGTCAGACCTAGGATTATATTTTGGTATTGATTATTTTTTTTCTTTAATTTTAACAATATGTTCGCAATCTATAAAGACACTTGTTTCTTTTATTTACAACCAGTTTGTAAATAATATTTTGAGTTCTCAAAACAATATACCTTAATTTTAACAAGACGTTTCGGATAGGTATAAATAAACCTTCTTATTTTATTATTCATATATTTCTCCAACTATTGGCGAATCGAAAGGTCTTATTTTTTTTATAAAATTTCGCAGGGCCCCACCTGACTCTCGGCCGTCCTATTGTTTGACAGGTCGTCGGAACGCCTAATAAAAGAACGCTGAAGGGGTCGTTTGGAGTTAAAAAGTGTGAATGGAGTGAACTGAATAAACGAATGCAGTTAGTGACATAATGAAAATACATGGTAGGTAAGATCATAAATCAATGACAAATTGAAATTTAATAAGTTGTCCTATATAAATAATGAGCGATAGCAAACAAATTTGCGATTTCTTGAATGGATATTATCTGGGCGTGTGTATGTGTGGTGACTGCTGATCCCAACAAAAACGAGTTTATTTAGACCCGGCCCAGTTACATTTATAGAATCACGTCTGACGTCACACACTAACCAAGGAGAAATGTGATTTTTTTTCAGTACATAACATGAATAATTGTGACGCCTAACTTCCCGCACTCGGTCATTCTTTTAACGAAATTCGATTTGAAAGTGATGAGAACTTATGATTCAACCAATAGTAGTGATCAAAATGATATAGGTACAAGGTGTTTTCGAACTAAAAGAAAAAACCTTGGATTTTCCGATTTTACACACCGTCAAAATTTCTTGCAAGTTACATTATTTCCACTGCACCATTCTTTTAAATATACAGTGCCATACAGCCAGTGGCGCATCCAGAGTTTAAGTTTGGGGGTCTACCTCTCCTCTATTGCTCTACTCTACATGCCTTATTATAGTTCAATATTTAAATATATAAAAATGAGAATAATATACCTTCATATTAAGATTATCCCTGTCGACCATTTCTAAAACATTGTTCAATTTGTAATGGAAAACGAAGGCATCTTCGTTCTGCGAAGGATCGCCGTCAGACATTTTAAATGAATTTTGTTTCTTCACTAATTTCAAACTCAATTATTATTAATATTATGGGTTAATTGATATAGTTAATTGTCTCAGACATTGGACATTGTTGATGCATTTTCTTTGTACTCATTGCAGTAGTGTACACATCAAAGAAAATCATTTTGACACAGTCAATTTAGCAGTCACAGTGATTGCCAACTTTGTATCATTGAAAATTAAATTCGGGACATCTTTACACATACTTTGATATGTGCAAAACCCATTTATAATTGTCAAAACTTTGACATTTAATTATTCAATAACTTTCCTGCAACAATGAAGTTTAAGAAATTAAAACAAATGCACCATGCAAGTACAAAAAATGATTAGCTATTTAGTAAATAATCTGTTCATTGATGCATATCAGGAGAGGTGTCCCTCAGGGCTCAATTTTAGGTCTATTACTCTTTTTGGTATACATTAATGATCTTCCTGACCATATGCATGGTTCCAAAATTAGTAGCGTCATTGAAAAGTGTGATTTTCAAATAATTCTAAAACAAAATATTTATCGTTATTTTTTTAAGATAAAACAATTTGAAGTTTTACCAAGATTTTGAGGCCGTGATATACCAAAGGACAAGAATAAAAATTGTTGTTCTTGGAATTAAAATATACTCCTTTTTGTAGAAATAGGCAAGGTAATTTACAAATATCCCATGACCTTCATCAACAATTATATTTTAAATAAATTAGTATATTTATAAAAATAAAAAATGCAGAAACAAGCTCATCAACAATTATCCTTTTTTTTTTAATAAACTAAAATATGGAATGCGGTCATTCAAACATCCAATTTCAACATTTACTTCTGTGGAACCATATAACGGAAAACCAGCTACTACTATATCATTATAAAGATAAAATTTATAAGCTGTAACCGTATTTAAAGTCGACCTTCAAGACTGTCTTACAATAATAATTATTTAAATAGCCTTTAAATATGTAACATTTCCATTGAGTGGTCAA